TGACAGGAATAACATGCAAGATACAAAAACAATCAAATAATAACCCAATAGCACCATCCTGTATTCTCGTGTATTTTGATTGTTTCTTAGGAATCTACATAACGATTTTACCTCTTTCACCCACTACAAACACAACAATCTCAATCATTCCCCACATGGCACATCATAACCACTTTAGGAAAGGCATATATCATCTCCCACAACATTGACGAATCCTTCCAAGGAAAAATATGCCGTCCCTCAACGTCGAACCTACGAGAATAATAGTGGTTGCTCTCACAAAATAAATATCATCCACAAGTGTTAAGCGACCATCTCACCCACACTAGAATAAACTAACTTTTAACACTCTACGATAGCTCTCGAAGGTAATTTAAGTCCGTCACACCCAACCATACAAAGATGAGAAATCACAACTTTATCAAAATGTATAACCAATCATGATTTTCATCAAAATCCATATAACACAAGTTTCACAATTTCAACATACAAAAGTAATGGGATTAAAATATGCTAGAGATCATATCAAGAAAATTTTTTCTAATTTCAATATCCAAATTTTAGGGTTTTGCCAAAAATTACAATTTCTTGGAGCAAGAACGAATAGTTAATTTAAAACCTAATTTGTCCAACAATAGGAACTTAGAAATCAAGAATCAATAGGTCTTTCACATTAGACATGTATTTAGAAAAAAACTAGGGTTTTGAAAATCCAAGAACGATATTCATTGAACCCAAGACATGTATCTTGTTTAAATTCACATGATAATCGAAAAGAAATCAAGAATGAATAGTTATTTAACATATAGTAATCAAGAAGATTTAAAACATACATAAATAATACCCTAAGTCTTAATGAAAGAACTTAAGAAGAAATCCCTTACCTTTAATCCATTGTTTGTGTGTAGTTCTAACGTGTTTGATCCGTTTTCGACGTGAAAATCCTCCTCTTTCTTCCTCTTCTAACATGTCTTAACTATCTATGGTTTACTAAGATGAAAAATAGGTAAAACAGTCCCCAAAAGAAGTGCCTAGGTATTTATAGGATCCTAAAATTGAAGAAAACACGCTAAATTGATTAGGAAGGTGTGTTCGAATGGCTGCCTTGCATTCGAACAGAGGCAACAATGCCCACACATGCATTCGAACGACTGTCATGCGTTCGAATAGTTGTTCGTATCGTCAGAGGTACTATTCGAATGATCCCCATGCGTTTGAACGGTGGAAAATCTCTAGAATTCCCCAACCCTGCATGTGCATTTGAATGGGGGATATGCGTTCGAATGATGTGTTTTCGTATCATCAAAAGCACCGTTCAAATAGTGGTAACTCTCGATCCTTGACTTGTGACTCAATTGTTTCCTAGTTAGAAGTAGATTCACAAATATTTCGTGAAATGCACTTTTGTAACCCTAGAAGTATTGTTTCTATTGTAAAAAATTCAAATCAATTGGAGAATAGCATACAAATTTATGGTCCAAAAACTAAGGTAATGTCAAATTTCATTCTACCCAAATTTTTTCAAAAAATATATTTTAACTCTAGAATACTTCCTAACTTTTAGTACACCCCATATCACATATCCCAAGGTTTCTTAGCCTTTCAGATCTACTTTTGATTTTGATATTATTTCACTCTAAATATACTTAAAACTTCACTAAATTCATTTAGCATTCGAGAAACCATCTTGAAACTTCAAGCTTCTCCATATATTTTATCTTTTTCTATAATCAATATATGCATAGTTTATACATCCTCATTTCATTCCTACATCATCATATATATTAGCAATTACAAATAATTACATCACTATATTCGGATGAACAAGTGAAGATTTACAATCCAACCCCTTAAAGAAAGTTCTGTCCTTGAAACATAGCTCGAGTGGGGAACAAATGAGAATACTTCTCTTGCATCTCCAACTTTGGTTCCCACGTAGCTTCCTCCATCCCATGATGTTGCAACAAAACCTTCACTAGTTGGATTACATTATTGCAAAACACATTTTCCTTGGTACCAAGAATCTTCACTAGTTGTTCCTTATAGGTTATGCCGTCTTGAATTTCAATTCTTTCCAATTCCACAACATGTGTTGTATCAGATTTGCACCTTCTTAACATTGACACATGAAACACATCATGTACTCCTGACAACTGTGGTGGTAACCTGAGTTGATACGTCACTTTACCCACAACTTTGATCACTTCAAATGGTTTGGTGCACTAACTTGATCTTAATCATAGACCCAAGTATAAGTGGTCAAGTTATAATATTACTCGGTTAAGTCCACGGTTGAATCCACAGGGAGTTATTTGTTGGAACTTTAAAATAGAAAAGGTGAAATTGTTGTGCGCGTACTGTGCATTACAACAGCTTGTGGTGTGAGCTTAGAATTAAAAAAAATAAACACTTAAGTTGAACTGTGATTACAACAATTGAAAAAAAAAGGTACTCTTTAGCTCGAGGATCCAACATGCATTCTATTATTTGAATATGAAAATGTCACCTTGCAGCAATTAATTCCTGTATTGACAGAAAATTAACCAGTAGGTTTGATGTATAGATTGAACCATATCCCAACAACTGTTAAGTTAGTCAGAAGGTATATGCACCATACAACAACCAAATAACCTAAGTAATTCTGAAAGTGAATTATTCAAAAGGTTTACTATAGCAATTTGACTGGCAGGTCTATGATTCAATGAAGACAGAGTTCTGTTTCTGTACTGAATCAAAAGCATTGCCTATGACAAGATTTAACCCATCTATAACCAATCTTTCGACTATTATATAAATCCCAACTACATGCATCATTATATCATGCATGAAGTACATAATAACATATAGATGAAATGGTATATAACAATAAGTTTAGCTCGATACCCATAACAATAAGCATATAGTAATACGATACCAAACAGAAATGAAAATCATCCATCATTTAAGAGAGGTAAAAACATTAAAGCATGGACAAAACATCGTCATTTCCATAACATAACCAATATCCAATATTATACATGTCTTCACCCTTTACTAAAGAGTATAAATGGACTACTCACACTTCATTGCTATAAATGAGCAAGAAGGGTAAGATAATTTCATTATAATACTATGCAAATGCAAAACAAACACAAGAAATCCTTCCCCAAGGAATAGTTGAAACAACCTCACTCTTGTTACCGACTAGGGTAGAAAAAGTGAGAGAGGTTCAAAGAAATGTTGAAGAATAAAATTTTGGCTAGAAGTGTTAAGGGTAGGGTATTTATTTTCTCCAACTTCGGCTTGTCAATGGTGGAATATTTCCCTGAAAAATGTACCAAACACGTCTATTTATAGGCTCCAATAGAGGGTTTAAAGTGGCAGACACCCAAGCAAGGCTTTTGTTGCATCAATGGACCAATGGGATAAAAGAAGGAGATAGGACAATTAAGGCCATCATTCAAACGCCACCACCACCATCCGAATAGTTTTAAGTCTCTGGATTTTTGCCTTGCAGCCTCTTTTGTTGACTTTTTGATTCTTGCCACAGTTGGGATGATGCTCCTGGCATCCAAATGGTAAGTTTCTTGCTGAAATTGCTCGTCTCCCTCCTTTTATTCTTCTTTCACACTTTAACCTTCCAAGTACCCTTAATTGCGTATGAAACCTACAAAATATAAAACTCAAACATTAATCATAAATTAATCTCAATTAAACACTTTAAATCAATTAATGCACGCCATTACCCCTAAATCCTAATTTATTTATGCATTTTTTAGGGTTTATCACACCCCCACCAAACATTACTAGTCCTTAGTAATAAAAATATACATAATCACTTTCATAGATTTCACGATTGCATTTAACCTATACAACAAGCCATTAAACCACTAGATGATCCCTAGCAGACTAGTTTCGTCTCGTGAAAGTTTCCAATTAAGATACTTACAAACTTCAACAATTAAGATAAAATAATCTATATTTTTCACATATAAAATTAAATCATCATTCCATCTTTATGCCAGAATAATCCCTCTCCTTATCATTGTAACAGTAACACACACCAATTGTAACATTATTCAGTATATTTTCAAAAAAAACTCGTGTGTATATTGGGATTTCTTTATCTCAAATACATTTAAGAAATATCACAACCATTTACAACACTATACAAAAATTAGTTTCGACGTCAATTCTTTCTTGGAAATCACTCAACAAGGGATACACTCAAGTTTTAGTAACTATCACTGAAAAATTATGTGATAAGAATATTGTAATCAAAGCAAAGTAATGGCACATGTAATATTTCAAAAGAAAGTTATTTGAATAAAATGGGAAATTGACATAATCTCATGAAAGAATATTAATAATAGATCAAATAATATTATCAACACTCTCGTCGTCCTCCGAGCTTACTATTAATGTTGACCATATGTTGAGCTAACCAGGTGCTGACCATATGCCAAGCTCGGAAAATGGTGACAAGAGTGTTGTTCTAACCTATCCCTAGTTTGAGTTGGACACTTGTTTTTGTTATTATTAGTTGGAGTAATGCTACATAAACTTAAAAAGTAGAGTTAATAACTAGATTTGATAATCTCAACTATTGATTTCAATGTGGGTCCCAATAAATATTGGGACCCATAGTGAAATCAATAGTTGAGATTATCAAATCTAATTTTTAAATCTACNTAACTAGATTTGATAATCTCAACTATTGATTTCAATGTGGGTCCCAATAAATGTTGGGACCCATAGTGAAATCAATAGTTGAGATTATCAAATCTAATTTTTAAATCTACTTTTGAAGTTCATGTAATATTACTCTATTAGTTGTCCCTAGCTCCAAATATGGACTAACCTGAGCTGGTCATTTGTTGGGGCTTAGCTTTTTAAATCGTGCCTACCCAATGTGCTACTAGGATTGTGTGTAACCGAAAAACTATTCCCTTATCGTTGCATAATCGTGTAGGCGTGGCATGGGTTTGGCACCTTGATTTTTAGGATGTGCCTCTAGCACGATGACACATGGCCATGCGTGCAAGCGCATTAAATGCGCTGCAAGTACCTTAAATGCACCGTATGATGTGTAACCACCAAAAAAATTTTAAATCCTCCATCTGCCACTATTGGACATTTGATCTTATCAAAATTTACATGTCTTCCAAGGGTAGGACTAGACTGAGCTGGCTGAGCTACTGACTTAGTTGATAGAGCTATTGATTGAGCTCATTAGCTTTGAGGCCAAGGAGCCTGAGTCAACTCAAACAGAAGAGTCTAGAGTTTTAGAGTTTGCTAACTTTGTAGTTGTAAGGTTTGAGAAGATGAGAAGCCTAAATTCATCGCAAATATCTTAAAGTTAAAGAACTTTGACCTTTTTTTACATAGTTCAAGGCTGAGAAGCCAAAACTTATTATTTTGGACTGAATAATCTAGTGTTCTAAAGCTGATTATCTCATCCTGAGGAGGATATTTAAGCTCATTTATCATTTTTGACTGGATAGTCAACTGCACTTTATGGTGTGCTTAGTGCCTTAGACCAAATAGTTGAGTGCATCAAGCCGAGCTAACTAGCTTCAACGTTGATGAGCTTGAGGAAGCTAAGAAGCTTAGGAAAGGCTAAGGAGCCTAAATTCGAAGTTGAGGCTGGGTGGCCTAAACTTGGTGCTTTTGAGTGAGTCTTGGGCTTATTGTTAGACTGATAAGTCTGAGATGTCAACGTCAAGTTTGATTAGATATGAGGCTGAGGATTTTGGTAAGGTCAAGGAGATTGACATGGCTAAAGAGCTTGATAAAACTAAGGAGCCTGACAAGGATGACGAATCTAGTAAGCTTGAAGAGCCTAGTAAGATCGAGGAGCCTGATAAGGCCGAGGAGCCTAACACAACTAAAGAGACTGATAAGGCTGAAGAGATTGGACTGCTTGTTACCTAGCTTAAGGTTGAGAAGCCTTAGTTTAAGACTAGTTAACCTAAGCTAATACGTTACTTATCCTTATGACATGAGGATATGCTCATCTGAACATGCCCATTATTCTTAACTGAACAGTATTGAAGAGCGGATTAGCTTTGTGGTTGAAGAGCCTTGGTACACGTTTTAGTAAAAATTTATAAGATCCATAAGAATATCTTGGGTTTTTATGCTGGTAATATTTTCATGGTATTTAACATTCCAAGAATGGCTAGAGTGCATCCCTCTTTGGTCTATAGTTCATAATTTCCAAGCCTGACCACTCATTTGACTTGGTAAGGTCCTTCTCCATTTTACGCGGTCTTTCCTTGTCATGGATCTTTCCTTACTGACACTATCTTTTTGAGAACTAGGTTCCCTTCCTTGAAACTTCTTTTCCTGACCCTTTGGTTATATTACCAAGCCATTCATTGTTGGTAAGCAGCGATCCTTTGTAGAGCTTCATTTCTCTTTTTGTCTCATTGATAGTCTGTTGCAGTTGATGGGTTGCGCCAAGCTGGGAGCAATTGCTCTCCGTTCATGTACTTTTTGGCTTTGGCCAACACATCAACCATGTTTGTCTAGGGATGCTTAAACACAAAAAATAAGAATTCTAAAGGTTGGATCCTAGTGATAAATGCTTCAAAGGCCACCTTCTCATCAAGGCCATCTACATGTAGAGTCTCAAGGCTGAAGCTCTGCACTTATATTTCTCAGCGCTTCTTCTAACTTTCATTTGATGTTGAGAAGGTATGAGGTCGACTTCAAGTGGCTCATTGGCTCAATGAAATGCAATAAAAACTGCATGGAAAGCTCTTTGAACGAGTTGATTGTTCCAAGTGGTAGCTTATTATACCAGGAGAGGGCTAAGCCTTTAAGGGTGATTGCAAAGGCTTGGCACCAGATAGGATTGTTTAAGTACATAAGTTGGTGTTGAGGTGGTCGGATGGATCTTTGGGGCCATTGAAGGTGTCCATAGAAGGCATCTTGAACTCGGATAAAATAGGGAAGTTTTAGATAACTTGGGTAAAAAGGGATTCAATTTGTTGAACTAGAGCTTCCATGGAGATGGGAGCTCTATTCTTAATGATGTTCTTCACATTGCCCAGCTTGTCTCGGACCGCCCTGATCATGTCCTCCAAGTAGCAATCTAGAGGATGAGGAGGTAGTGGCTGAAGATTATTTATCACATCCTCACTGGTATGGCTATGGCCTTCTTCTTCCTAGGCTTCCTAATCTCGTCGATTATGTGTATTATCGTTGATGATGCCTAAAATAACTTCCAAGTGCTAAGCTCAGGAGGTCAGCTCGAACCAAGAGGTCAGGCACATTAGCAGAGGTCAGAGGGTAAGGGCTGAATGTCTCTTGAGCCAAGGTAACAGCTGGATATCCACGAGAGGTTTCTAAAACATTTGGAAGTTGTAATCAAGCCACCCAATCTCAACCAACCAAGATATTCTCCTAGAATTAAGGAGAACCCCACAAAATAAGGGCAAGAATCTCGGCCAGTATCCCACTCAGTAGGGAATGGCCCTATAAATGCAATGTAACACCTCCTAACAAAAAGGAGAACGCTAGTGGCAAAAGGAGCCATTGTAACCTTGTAACGACGATCGTGAATAAAACAAAAAGGAGCAAGAACCTCTATTGAAGAGTGGACTAGCCGAGCTCCTGAGCCGGTGAACTATTATATTTTCACTGTGTGCACCCCTTTAATCCCCGAAATATTTCATGGTAGCATCATACACCAGCCTCGTAGCTCTGATCCACGCTCATCTCATATTACTTTCACCTTAAGCTCATCCACGTTGATATACGTTATCAGTTTGGCGTCATCTGTGGGAACGACTGTTCCTGTTACAAATAAAGCTGATTTTTCAATGACTGAGGGTATCAACGCAAAACATGAGTCGAAGTCAGGCCAATCCTTTATGGATGCAAGATCAACAAGAAGCCACAAATAATAGACAACCCGAAAACGTGCAAGAAGTCGATCCCCCCATGGGGGAATTCCCATGAATAATGAGATGGAAGCCTTTCGTCTTGTCAATGAACGTCTGATAAAACAGAACGAAGAGCTCTTAAAGTTTCTACAACGCCCACAGGAGGCGTGACCGCCCCAAGGAGGCCAGAATAATCCACCACCAAGGGAGCAACCGTATCTCGACCCCCTCAGAGAAGTTAATGAGGTGGGAGAGAATAGTCATACCTTGGGGCAAGAACCTCGCCTACCCCCTAGGAATGGTCACAACAAGGAAGTGCAAAGTCAGTATAAGGAAGGGGAGAGGAACGACTTCTTCCCTTATCAATAGGAGAGAAGAGAACACCACTAGGAGCAACGTTTCAAAGACATCCAGCAAGAGCTCAGCCAAATGAAGGAGGTAGTGAAGAGCAAGGCCCCAGTCACTATGGATGCCTTGGTGCAACAAACCGAATCCACATTCACTACTGGGGTGCTGCACTTCCCTCTCCCACCTAAATTTAGAATGTCGCAGGTGGATGCTTTCGATGGGACAAAAGATCCCGTGGACCACCTCAACACCTACAAAAACTAAATGGAGTTGCATGGATATCAAGATCCAGTGAGATGCAGGACCTTTGCTATCACCCTAAAGGGCTCAACCTTAGCATGGTTCAACTAACTCCCCCCAACCTCGATTTTCTCTTTTAAAGAGCTGTCAATCTCGTTTGTGTCCCACTTCATCGGAGCTCGGACCTATAAGAAACCGAGCTACCATTTGTTAAATGTGAAACAGGTACCTGATGAGAACCTACGGTCTAATGTCCAACGGTTCAACTCAGAATCCTTGAAGGTGGATGTCCCAAATGAAAAATTTGTTATTACAGCCTTCATAGCAGGTCTGTGGGTTCAGTCAAAAGATCTGATGTTTTCCATCTCAAAGAACCCCCAGGCTAGTATAGCGGAGGTGCTTGCCAAAGCAAAAAAGTACATAAATGGTGAGGAAGCTCTCCTCTCCAAGGTTGGGAGCCCTTCGTCAAGAAAGGAGAAAGGGAAGGAAGAGAGAACGAAGTCCCAGAAAGGAAAGAGAATGAGGCAGGTCTCTAAGAAGAGACAGAGAGCGTTCCCTAAAGAGAAGAGCAAANTAGAGCTTCATTTCTCTTTTTGTCTCATTGATAGTCTGTTGCAGTTGATGGGTTGCGCCAAGCTGGGAGCAATTGTTCTCCGTTCATGTACTTTTTGGCTTTGGCCAACACATCAACCATGTTTGTCTAGGGANCAGAGCTTCATTTCTCTTTTTGTCTCATTGATAGTCTGTTGCAGTTGATGGGTTGCGCCAAGCTGGGAGCAATTGCTCTCCGTTCATGTACTTTTTGGCTTTGGCCAACACATCAACCATGTTTGTCTAGGGATGCTTAAACACAAAAAATAAGAATTCTAAAGGTTGGATCCTAGTGATAAATGCTTCAAAGGCCACCTTCTCATCAAGGCCATCTACATGTAGAGTCTCAAGGCTGAAGCTCTGCACTTATATTTCTCAGCGCTTCTTCTAACTTTCATTTGATGTTGAGAAGGTATGAGGTCGACTTCAAGTGGCTCATTGGCTCAATGAAATGCAATAAAAACTGCATGGAAAGCTCTTTGAACGAGTTGATTGTTCCAAGTGGTAGCTTATTATACCAGGAGAGGGCTAAGCCTTTAAGGGTGATTGCAAAGGCTTGGCACCAGATAGGATTGTTTAAGTACATAAGTTGGTGTTGAGGTGGTCGGATGGATCTTTGGGGCCATTGAAGGTGTCCATAGAAGGCATCTTGAACTCGGATAAAATAGGGAAGTTTTAGATAACTTGGGTAAAAAGGGATTCAATTTGTTGAACTAGAGCTTCCATGGAGATGGGAGCTCTATTCTTAATGATGTTCTTCACATTGCCCAGCTTGTCTCGGACCGCCCTGATCATGTCCTCCAAGTAGCAATCTAGAGGATGAGGAGGTAGCGGCTGAAGATTATTTATCACATCCTCACTGGTATGGCTATGGCCTTCTTCTTCCTAGGCTTCCTAATCTCGTCGATTATGTGTATTATCGTTGATGATGCCTAAAATAACTTCCAAGTGCTAAGCTCAGGAGGTCAGCTCGAACCAAGAGGTCAGGCACATTAGCAGAGGTCAGAGGGTAAGGGCTGAATGTCTCTTGAGCCAAGGTAACAGCTGGATATCCACGAGAGGTTTCTAAAACATTTGGAAGTTGTAATCAAGCCACCCAATCTCAACCAACCAAGATATTCTCCTAGAATTAAGGAGAACCCCACAAAATAAGGGCAAGAATCTCGGCCAGTATCCCACTCAGTAGGGAATGGCCCTATAAATGCAATGTAACACCTCCTAACAAAAAGGAGAACGCTAGTGGCAAAAGGAGCCATTGTAACCTTGTAACGACGATCGTGAATAAAACAAAAAGGAGCAAGAACCTCTATTGAAGAGTGGACTAGCCGAGCTCCTGAGCCGGTGAACTATTATACTTTCACTGTGTGCACCCCTTTAATCCCCGAAATATTTCATGGTAGCATCATACACCAGCCTCGTAGCTCTGATCCACGCTCATCTCATATTACTTTCACCTTAAGCTCATCCACGTTGATATACGTTATCAGTTTGGCGTCATCTGTGGGAACGACTGTTCCTGTTACAAATAAAGCTGATTTTTCAATGACTGAGGGTATCAACGCAAAACATGAGTCGAAGTCAGGCCAATCCTCTATGGATGCAAGATCAACAAGAAGCCACAAATAATAGACAACCCGAAAACGTGCAAGAAGTCGATCCCCCCATGGGGGGAATTCCCATGAATAATGAGATGGAAGCCTTTCGTCTTGTCAATGAACGTCTGATAAAACAGAACGAAGAGCTCTTAAAGTTTCTACAACGCCCACAGGAGGCGTGACCGCCCCAAGGAGGCCAGAATAATCCACCACCAAGGGAGCAACCGTATCTCGACCCCCTCAGAGAAGTTAATGAGGTGGGAGAGAA